ATACGAATTAAATTAAAAGAAAATTCGAATAAAACTAAAAATTATAAATATTATTGACAAAATTATAGCTACCGATGTGATTGCATAAAATAAATAATATGAGGTATGACAACTGGTTTAATTATGCCTTTAATACTTACATAACCAAGCCGATAAATATAATCGATATATGTATTTCTCCATGTATTTATCTATACGATTTGAATTTGGAATGACAGAAATGAACGCAAATCTGCACTGATTTGAATAATTTCGATTTCTCGATCGAATGGATATGAATTTACATTGACACTGCATAGAAACGTGGAAAAGAGGGTGGAGAGCAATAACTTTACTACAGTAAGTGGATTTCACGATATTACCATTTCCAAGAAAAATTCGCGCAATTATTCGCCGAAAATTTATCACGAAAAAATTGCTGTAAAAAATTTCGAAAAATTTATTCGACTAAATTTTTATTTTATAGAAATATCATTCATTTATTGAAATACTTATGAACCTGCGATACAAGGGACAGGAATAAGTCTTGTAATTCTCTTATCCTTTCGAGGTTACGAAATTCTGTCGATTTTATAGGTTAGGTCAACAGTGGACTCTGATCAGCTGTATTTCGTGAAATACGATAGTAACCTGATATCCATAGTGAATCCGAAATCCAGAGACATCTCTTTCGCATGAACACTCCAGAAGAATTCCTCGCCCACAATAGGAAAAAAATGTTCCAATACATGATATAATGCAAGTATCCACAACGCCACTATAACAGTCAGTGTGAAATACGAATGCCTATTCTTGACAAGACGACTTTGCAGGATACCTTTGAAAGAACAATCTCGCGATTGTCACCGAATAGATTTCTTATACATTGTAACAGAAAATCGTCGTGTCGTCTCCTTCTGAAATGGAACACTTTGGAAAATACCCAATTTAAAAATAAAGTAAAACTCAGGTTAGAAACTATGACACAATTTAGAATCTTGCAAATATTCTAATATATTTCTAATTGACTAACAATTTTTTAAATTTCTATATGTAATTTAAATTTTGCAGAGATATTCAAAATGCATACAAATTTAATATCACAGTAGAAAAATACGATGTTATACTTACAAAAGGAGTGCAAGTCCTTCGGATCATAGATTTAGTTGACACTATGCAGGTTTGTAGATTTAGTCACCCAGGTCAAGAAAATGTATCATTTTCGATATTTTTTGACATATTTATGATTAAAATTTTATTATTATGAACTAGAGATTTCTTCCGAATAATTATCAATAGTTATCAAGTAGTATTGTAACCTAACGGCAGCATCCGATAATTGGCACTTGATAAATATTCGAAATAAATGTGTAATTAAGGCAATAATAAAACTCTTGTTGGGATTTATTAATAAAGTGGGTTTGGCAAATGGAAAGTATAAGTAAACTAAATACATATGTGGACGTAAAATACAATGTAGTCAGGAATATTCACAGAATACACGTGGCAGGTACACACCAGTTGCAATAGATCTCACGCCATACGCCAACAGCCGACGATCGTCCTTCTGCACATGCTCATCGCGCACACGCGCAGGGCCGTATTGTTATTTAGCACGATCCCCGTATTGATCGTATATTGATCGCATATCTTACAACTCTAATCATAAATATCTCGAAAACTATGGAATAGTTGCCCCTATAATGATATATTTTCTTGAACTGAATGACTAAATCTACAAACCTGCAAAGGTTCAATTAAATCTACGACCACAAGTACTTGCACTCTCTTTATTAGTATACTATATTTGTATCAATATGATACATCTTATGTATCATGTTGGACACAAAATAATTATTTCGATGAAAAAGGAATTTATTTTCTCTAATGTATTATATACTGCAATATATACTCGTGCAATAATTTAATTATTTCGCGAAAGAGGAATCGAAAATTAGTCATTTTCATTTTCCTTGAGAACCGATGATAGTAAGGAACAACGTGGAGATTAACAATTCTAAATTTTGGCGATGGTTAGTCCAGATTACTTGAATATCTGACCAGTCAGAGTGAATCTCGTCGAACGACTACGAGGTGAGAAACTCGAAGGGATTTCCATTAGGTCCACACCCCGCAGAGATTGGACTGCATTTTTTACGATGGACTCGTGAATATCTTAAATTCCGCAGCAGCACTTTACTATCCGAAGACGTAGCCTAAATCACACTCTTACGAAGCGAGACAATTCTGGGCTCTTCGCTCGGTGCAAGATCAACATTTCTCTAGACCCTGCTTTCACCCTATTCTTAAGTAGATTATTCAAAAAAGGGGTGAAAGGAACGATTTAAGTTAATATACGAGTGAGTGTCAAAAATGAGTGTGTATGGTTATATCTCGTAGATGAAATATGAAATTATATCGATAATTCGTTTGATATTACTATTAGAAACGATACGGAATTTAATATAATATAATTTATAATATGTTACTTTTTAATATATATATATATATATAATTTATATAGAAAGATCGTGTGTAACAGCTTTGTCTTCTGTCGTGAATTAGGGAACTGGACTACTAGCGCCCTCTCATACGCGTAAGCCATAGACTACTAGCACCCTCTCATACGCGTAAGTTCTAGATTATTAGCGCCGTCTCATACGCGTAAGTTCTAGATTATTAGCGCCCTTTCATACACGTAAGTCCTAGACTACTAGCGCCCTCTCATATGCGTAAGCTCTAGACTACTAGCGCCCTCTCATAACGCGTAAGTCCCAGACTACCAGCGCCAGGCTGCAACCTATCTAACCAAGCGCAATATTTTTATCATAAATTATAAATTTCTTTTCGTGAAACTTAATTTGCCAAGTTTCATAGAATTAATTAATAATTATAAGGAAAATTTGACCGTCAAAATTGTGTCGATAATAACAGACGTTTCTAGCAAACACGATATGCAAGGTGGAAATAAACAGCTCTAAAGCAGCAACGCACCACCAGAATCTCATTTTCTCGAATCTTTGCGAAACTACAACTTCATGCTTGCACTTTAAGGTTTTATTTGAGCTCTTGTACTAAAACACAAAGTCGTATTGTCGTGCTCCAACCGGGTAATCGAGTGGGCAAGACGATACATGCAACAATTTTTATACAGATAAGCTGATTTCCTTCTACAAAAATAAATCTAATTTAGATGAATTCTATTTACAAAATATAATCATATCGGCGAAATCATTTTATATAAAGATATATTTTTATTCTTAGTACTTACAAGATTTTAAATACGATTTTGCAAATATTAATAATAGAAGTAGAAAAGATTGTTAAGCACAAAGAAAAATTAAACTTTTCCAATTTAATTATATCATTTAACTAAAAAATTATTGAAATTGTTATTCCCTTTATCATATGCAAAGTACTAGCTATTGAATTATGCATGAACGAACCTTACGCAACAGTGTTTTCTGAGTTTTCAATTACTAAGAGGGTCGAATGATAAATTGTCTCATTTAATCGACGCTTTCGATATCTTCCGAATATATTATTGATTTCACATTGAGTGAAAGTAATATTTACGCAAAATAGAAGATAAAATCGTTCAGTTTATATTATAGCATTTTCAACGTGTATTACTTTAATGTAATAAATTTAAAAGGCTATAATTCGGAAAAATAAATTGTACTATATACTATCCCTTTAAACATTATCTCCTAGTATATGTTATTATAATAAGCACCAAGAATGACAAAATTTAAGAAAATAAATAATTCGATAAATACAAATTTCAAATATTTCTTCCACAATTTTCTAAAATTCGTCTAAATATAAACTTGTTTATAAAATGTTGCAAAAAAAAAACTATTGTGAAGAATATCCAAAGCAATGATAAATCCAAAAATATTATATATAACAAATAAGTCGCCTTTTCCAATATCTTTTCAATGCTAGATTGAAGAAATAATTTCAAAGAAGTTAAAAACAAAAATAAGTATCTTTCAGTAAGTCAGTGGAATAATATCCCATGATTTAATAAATATACAGGTAGATCATTATTACCAATATAATATTAAAAAAAAAAATATGGAGGATGTCGTTTATAAACGTGTTATTTAAATTTAAAATAAGTAACTATGAGTAAATCTATGGAACTCATGATTCAATAAATACACATGTAGATCATTCTTGTCAATATATGTAGGATTGGAAATGACTATGGGGGTCTAAAGAATGTCGAGAGTGTTTGAACTTAGCACAATGTGGTTTAACTTAGCACAGTATGGTTTAAATATGGGTGCAAGGGTGCAGAGAGCAGTGTGTGTCGGTCAGTGTGTCAGTCAGAGAGTATGTGAGAAGTGCAAGTCAGCCTATGAAAGATCAGAAGAACGTGGCCATAGCGAATCTCTCTTGTTTCACAGCTGACATTCTATGTATAAGCTTATTTTATTCAATTAAAAAACCAACAATACTATCTTTAGTAAACCCACCCAAATCCGATCCTTCATATAATATTATAAAATATTCAGAATGTCGTTTAAAAGCCTGTTATTCAAATTGAAAATAAGTATCTCTGAGTAAATCTATGGGATGCATGATTCAATAAATACACATGTGTGAGTATTGGTTTTATGATAGTATGAGTGTAGATTATATATGTGTGAATGGTAATGAAGTAGAATAAACGAAAGTCATTTGAGATGACAAATATAATATGTGCGAGTGGAATCTAGTATGAATGTTGTTAAAATATATTTAGAAGAATGTGCCAGAATGAAACAGTTACGTGAGAATCGTCAAATAGTAAACATGTATTAATAAGAGAGAGAGAGAGAGAGAGAGCGAGAAAGAGAGAAAAATTTTCTAGATAGTGTGAATGTTTCTGTTCAAAATATTATATTGCGAATTGATGTCAATATTTAAATATTGTTATATAAATACATTAATTTGTTAACTGTTAAAAAACGTACAAGAAATTGGTTGCCATTTCTATCCACAACAGGTAGATCATTCATACCGATATAATATTAAAAAAATATTGAGAATGTCGTTTAAGAAATGTGTTATTCGAATTGTGCCATGAATAAAGAGAAATTTTTAAATTGGACGAATCATTCATCATCCATACCCATCATGCCCATCGTTTCGTCGTCTTGCCGGCTAAGCTGGGTGCCCCATCCCATTAGGAAAAAATAAATTTTGATTATTGCGAGGCACACGACACCGATCATAGTGTCCACTTTTTCAGCGATACAGTAATGGTAGTACCTAAATCTATTAAAGTAGTACTTCAGCGTGCTTCTCAGGTTCTGCTGCGTCTTCTCCTCATCTTCTTGATTAGCTGTTGGATTCTCTGTATCCGTGCTCTGCAGGGCTTTGTTTCCTGTTAATGAAACCTGTTGCAGTAAAACCACCGCTCGAGGTATTTGTATAAAAGCTAACGAAACTTACGTCGTTTAACCGTTCCTTCCATTTTTTGATATTTATCCACTTTAACGATTCCTCTGTCGAGAGGTTACAGCTAACCGGGCTGTAACGCTGGAATAATTTGATACACTGGAATAAGGTCTGACAGCAAAAATTGTACGAAGCGAAAGAAAGTAAGTGACATGTAGCGATAATTATTACAATTATAGACAGTTATACTTGACTGTCTAATCTGATAAATTTGATATTATGTATTTTAAAATATTAAAAATGCAATTATGAAGAATGTACTGTGTAAACTTCTTAATTGGCTAAATATAAAAGAGGAACAATTCGTTAAAAATGCCTCTCGTTTTTCTTGATTTTCAAATAAAACAAAGTTGAATGAAGTGGCTCGAATACCCTGAACCCCCACCCCCTTAAATCATCTCAGCACTTTCTAGTAACTTTCTTCAAAACGGCCAATTATTTAAAAACTTCAAAAAAACCGAGTCAAGAAGACAAATAACGAAAGTTTCGTACAAGTACATCTAGATTAATTTTTTAATGTTGTTTTCGATACACCGTTGTAATGACCCCTATACAAGATGATTAATATACGCCAAGAGATGCAAGTTTAGTCGTAACAAAAGGGAAACTAGACGTTATTATGCATGTTAGTAGTTTGCATTATGTTCAGTATGAATCCGTATTTTCAAATATTCAGATATATGTATTAAAATATTTTTAAAGATAATGAATACAATATATAGAATTATATATATAATAATAGTATATAGAATTATATATAGAATTATAATATTTTTAAACTATAGTATACGAAATTTATTAAAATGATAAATATAGCATACACAGTATTTTAGAAAATAATTATAATATATCATATTTATAAATTATAACGTACGATACTTTTAACTATAATAAATACAATATATATAATTATAATATATAGTATTTTTAAATATTATGTACAATACTTTATATTATTATGTACAATTTTATGCACTATATCATTTCTTGCAATTATTATTGCTAAATATTATTATTTAAATTTAAATTTCACACTAGACAAAAAATTGCACAAATTGAAAATTTCAATTTTATGGGAGTATAAAATATAAGAAAATATAAAGGGAACAATTTTTTTAAGCAAAGATTTACTTTGAAGAAGCGAGAGTGACCATTAAAGTTTCAGCGTCTTTTCATTTCTTAGATATAATTTTATAATGCCATAGAATAAAGTGGAATTGTAAGTATAAAATTTTTACGATTCGTAATTTTCAAATGACAGACTTTCGTTATTATTTTCCCTGTACATAAATATTTAATTTCGAATTTAAGAAAAGATCTTTCTAATTAAAAAATTTTTCATTTTGTGTTAAAAATGGTATATTAGCAATTAAATGATTCAAAGAACTGATATGCAAACAATAAATTTTTCTCAAGGTTCTAGAATTCTTTAGGCCGTGAGAACATTTTCTTTCTTTCTTGATACTCAAATTTGTTATAGAAAAAGAAAAGAAAAAAAATGCTATAGAAAATTTATTTTTATTTTTTATTTTTTAATTAAATTTTCAAGAAACAATTTTCTACAACAAAAGATAATCTGAAATAAATATAAATAAATATAGCCACAGTCGTCCTACAATGTCAATGACAAAAATCTTTAGAGTAATTTTACATCAACTATTATAGTCTGTACACACTGTGTATAACATTCTATTATTTTCTTTTTGAATCAAGCTGTATGTATGAGTGTTAGCTCGTGATATACACATGGATGAGAGAGAATAAAAGTCTAAATAAAAGGCAACCAACCGAAAAAAGAGGACAGAATAGCGAATAATAGGTGCTAACTAACTGACAAAAGTGAACAAATTCGTAAACAAAAAGTGCGAACTAACGAAGCTGACGATTCTAAGCAGAAATCAAAAGGCCATAAAACTCTTTCCATTAACTATACCAAATTCGCCAGGAATAAAGCACGAATCCACGAAAATCGATTTAATTTCGCCAATGAACGAACTAAGTACTTCGAACCCTCCTCGAAAATTCGTATTAACCCGTGAAATTATTTTAACAAGATTTATCCCCCTCCAATTAATTCGCATAAACGACGTTCTACCGTAATTAAACGATTTCTCCAACTCGGCCGATTTCTATTCCCATTTAAACGCGAAAACCTCGACGACGCCGGGACTCGATGAAAAATTCATTAAAAATGGGTGCAAATGGGACGCTTTCCCGTCGCGTGTGACAATCATAGGTTTCCTTAAATTACAATACGCCGGGAACCGTGTCCCAGAGATTTCGTTGCTCGCAAACGTGTAATCTCGTCACGCGTAAAATGGGAGAGAACAAAACCCGATTACAATTCCACGCGACCGTATTTCAATGCCCCGAAACGGTCTATCTAGTGACGAAAATGGAGACTGCCAATATTTCGTGAACGAAATTCTATTTCGACCGGCCGCGCGTTATGCGGAAACACGGCCGCGCCGGTGAAAATATTTCCGAAGCAACGGAATTAAAATATCGGCAGGGAGTGCCGGCGGATTGGCCAAACGCTAAAGGCGTCTCGTACTTCCACGAGAAAGGGTGAAAAAACGAAAGAAAGCAGAGAAATAAAGTGCACTCCGGACGCGACAAAGCAGTACGCCCGTGCGATAACCTATAACTGTTTCATTCGATAAAATCTACATGTTAATGTTCACTCGTTTTATTCTCGCCATTTTTTCGCTTCGCCATTTTTACGGTCGTCCGTTTTTATTTACGGCCCCATTTTTCCTTTTTACGTTTCAGACGTGCGATATAGCGAGCGACAAAATATCAAATTTAGAGGTTATGTGCACACGCGTGCGCGCCGTACTCCTAAAAAGCACCGGTAACCGATTGGCGTGAAATTTTAAAGGAACGATGCGGATGCAGAGTGGAAACGCGATGTGAAATTTTCGCTTCGAATATTCAGTAGTTTCTGAGATATTGGTAAAAAGGGGAAGAGAAATCGGATTCTGTGTTTATAAGTACGCTGGAATTTCGTTAATCCGGATTTCCGACTTATCCGGATTGTAATACGTATCAGAGATGGGAGTACGAAGAAAATTTTTGTCAAAATTTTTATATCTGTAAATGAGGATTTCTTTTTCTATTAATTGATGAATATTTTGTGTTTATGTCTACGCCAATGCGTTCATGTCGACTTCTTTGCAGTATCCTAATTGAAATTGAAATTGAAATTCTATAGGTAGATGTGCCTTTTATTTTATATGTATGTACTGTTAATGCGTATTGCTGTAGATGTAGAAATATATTTATATATAAATTGATTCTTTAAATTAAAGGAAGAAATGGAGCACGTCAGTAAATACGTTTGTTTTAAAGATTTATTGTTGATAGCATTTGGTTTAGTATTAAGAGACAAGGTTCAACGAATTTCATTGCATTGTTCGTAATACGAAGTTTATACTGTAATTAGGTTAGGTTAGAAGGAACGTAAGACGTTCCGGCGCTGCCAGTTGTCTCCAGATAAATTCACTAGCAAGAAGTCACTAGGGTATTATTTATTCTCTTTAATACCTCTTGGATTAAAAGTACACGGTTTCTTAAATATTTTGAGACATTCTTATTAATATTTTCTGCAAGAAAGATTTTATATTTTATTTCTACTTTGTCTTCTTTTTTTATTTTATTTAGTAACGTGGAGAAAAATATTTTTAATCGAAATTGGTTGTATATCTTTTAATAAAAATTAACTAAATGTAGCTCCCTGAGTCAAATGTAATTTTGCACTGATTAATTAACGAAAATAAAACCTTGATATTTGTATTAATAATTCATATGTATATATTAATTACATATATAAAATTGTTATTAAATATGGGTCATGAATATCTTTCATAGATGAAGTATGGCCCCAATCCTAATGACAGAGGAAGTATAGAATTAAAGAAATTAATTAAACAAATTAAAAGATAACAATAATGGTTAAAAAGATATATTTTAGTTAAATATTAATGAATATCGATTGTGCAAACACTATTGATCAAAATGGCGATATAAAAATACATGCATAAAGAATAAATAAAAGTATAGCGTGACTAGTTTTCAAATGTTAATATTCTATACTACTTTGTCCTGACTAACTTATCTTTAAGATTACCCATAAATCTACGTCGAACTTCAGTGTCGTAATAAAATACTATTTTTAGTAGAAAACTATTTTCAAAAATTAAAAACTGAATTGATTTATTTTGTGCTTAAATCTATAATTGTCTACCTTTATTTACTTTTGGCCAGTAAATTTTACGATTCGATGGAAACATAAAAAAAGAGGAAGATTACATAACCTAACTTTACTTCTCCAAAATTCATTTTATTTTTGCGAAAAATTCAAATAAATTGTTAAATATTGTTTGTAAATATTAAATTGTTAAATATGTTTGGCTATTGCCAAAAAATTGAATAGAAAAAGAATATTAACAAAGCAAGTGGTACATAATAAAAGCAAATACAGCAAAATTAAATGAAAAAATATAAAAATAAAAGCAAGTATAACATTTTTAAATCAATCGTGTGAATCTTTATTGAGTATTATTTCAATTTTTAAATAACACGAGTTCACAGGAAAACACTATTTGTGGTGTAACACCATCCGATAAGTTCAGTCGTACTCCATCTTGCTTTTCAACAACTAAGGAAACTAATAAAATCCGGAACAAAACGAAGCAAGATTTCTTTCAATATTCGAAGAAAACGACAAAGGTTGAAAAATGGCGGTTGAAAAACGTTAAATTCTTCCGCGACGTCGTCACGAATTTAAAGAAACATTTTTCTTAATTACACCGAGTCTAGAAAACGGTCGATCGCTTTAACGGTGGACATGGCGTCAGGAAGCGTTCGGAAATACTCGACGAAACGGTGTGATCAAATGAAAATCGAGTCCCCGTTCGATTCCGGGCGTTCTGCTCCATGGAGCGACATCGAAACACAGAGTGCGAACGAACAAATGATATTTCCGTATTATCGTCGTTATCGAGAAACAATAGGTGTCGTGTAGTGAGCGGACCAATATCGGGTCGCCTGGTCGGTAACGTAGCGCGCGCGTTTGTCGACGAAGTTTCGAGGACGGCGTCGAACTCACGTATTTTCTAACAATTTCGCATTTGATCATAGGGATTCGCGGGATAAAGCCACCTGGCCTGCATTCATCACTGCGAATGCTGCTTTTTTTTCACAGACGAATGCAACCGCGTTTGCACGAAAAAAAGTTGAAGGTTGTTTAATGCCTCTGTCACCCTTACGCCTCGCCTGACGGTCTCTTCCCCCACCACTGCCTGTCTCGATTTAACTCCCGCGAGGTTAAGCGATACGTCTGGATATACGACGCGTCGATACGAGCAAGTGCATTGAAGTGGAGTTTTTGACGGATTGCCGGCAACGAATTCGACTATTCCCGCGTTTACGACATTAATTTCAAATGGATATGGATATCGATTCTTTACACGATAGAAATTTATTTCCTTTGTGAAGAGGTTAGGATAGTTGTGAATTTTTAGGTCGAGGTGAAGCTCAGGTGAACTCGAGATGTGTAGAGGTATTTGCAAGTCTGGGAGTTAAATTTAACACATTTTCTTATGAAATCGATGAACCTGAATGGTGCACCGATTTTGATCATTTTTCAAATATGATATAGGAACGAAAATTTGGAATAACGTGTTTTTTCTTTGTATAGAGGTTATGTTTGTTTTCTTTCTGTATAGGTTAGCACAGCAAATGAATCTTTGATTAAATTGAGGTAAATTAAATTGGATATCCTATTCTATAACTATTTATCTCAAGATTATCTTATTATATTATTATTAGGTTAGAATTTTGGGGATGGAGGTAGAAGGTATAAACTTTGTGGGTTTGAACAAATTTTTCGAGTTCTTTTTTCGTCAAGGAAACCTCAAAATGTCCTGTTGAAGTTCATAAAGTACCTTTCTAACAAAGTCGTTACATATGGGTTGCACTCGTATAATACAATTGGTCAGTATCATTTAATAGAAAAATATAATATATATATTATTATATTTTATATATTATTGTTATATTATTATATTATTATATTACTATATTATTATATTATACTTTTCATCCCCTTGCGCGATTTATGTGTAATTAACTGGAGTATAAACAAATGATAAAACTACATAAAAATTGTGCTTACTATAACAATAAAGTTATCAAAACATCCAAACTAAATATACTCATTGAAATATCCTAATAAAATCAAAAAATCAATTAACAATACTGTATGTAATTATTTACCAAATAATCTCAAAATAATAAGAAAATTTTTTACATTTACATCAAAATTATTAATAATAATCAAATTATAATTATTGTGTCCATTGTACCTATTCTATCCATCCATAACCTCAAAACAATAAGTAAATCGTTTGGATTACTATTATACACTTCACATACTAAAATTACTATACTAGTAAATGATCTAATTGAGTCATTCACAGACCAAAGTGATTAACTCGACTTTCCAAATTTTTGTGTCAAAGTATTTGAATAAATTTTTACTAATAATCAAATTATAATTATTCTGTTTAACTGTACCTATTCTATCCATCCATAACCTCAAAACAATAAGTAAATCGTTTGGATTACTATTATACACTTCACATACTAAAATTACTATACTAGTAAATGATCTAATTGAGTCATTCACAGACCAAAGTGATTAACTCGACTTTCCCAATTTTTGTGTCAAAGTACTCGAATAGTAATTAACTTTTTACAGCAGAAATAAATTTTTACTTATTCCGAATAACGAGCTAAATAAATTTAACAAATACACTGGTCAATTGCATCTACGTACGTATTAAAACGAAATACATACCAAATTAAGTAAATCAAACAAATATCTCACGAAACTCCCATCAAAGACAAACGAAGAGTTTAAAGTTTAAATGTTCAATTACCAAGCAGCAATTACACCGTGTCATTGAATTACTAATCCGAAACAAAACAAAGGAATTCGAAAAAGGTTTTGATCTTCGGCTTTGAGTGTACAGCGTAAGTCTCTCTGGCGAAAACCACAAAACCCTCGGGATATTGATTAACGCCGAGAATTCCTTTCACCAGCGTCATTACTTTTACTTTAAACGCGCCAAAGAGTGCCTTAGAAGAAGATAAAAAAAAAGCTCCATCGCACAAAGCATTCCCTGATATTTAAATACCTTTAAATCCGGACCACTTCAATCCTTCCGCTCAACAGCCAATTTTTCTTTGTACTTCATTAATTGCGAGAAAAAAGGAAAATTAGCAAAGAGAATTATACGTTTGTCCATATCGTCCACGAGCTCCTCGATAAATAATAAAAACGATATCGTCGCTAATTTCGTACGTGAATTAGTATAAGTATAATGTACTATAGCAGCACAGTGTGTTCGAATTTATTGTATAAATCAAAATTGCGTATTAACTTTCCGTTAAGCATATTTCCATTTTACAAAAATTGAATGAGTGGAAGAGTATTGTAAGATGACATAGCTATCATTTTTATATAGTGAGCATGAAGAAAATGTGTGAAGGTCAACTTTATATCTTTTAATAGAATTGCTTAATTTTTAGAATAATATTTTATTATATTATATTATGTTATATTAATATTAATATTAATTATTAGTTATAGTATTAATATAAGTTATATTAACCTATTGCATTCAAGAGGTGACCCTCAGTCACCATTTCATAAAATTTGGAAGATCGATATTAATTAATATATCAAATTTAATGTAATGTAACAGTGTGCGAAGTATCGAAGTCAAATAATTTTACAATTTTATTATTATACAATTTTTTATTTACTGCTGAAAAAAGTAGAATTTCTTTGAATTTCTACTCTTCTCTAGCCAAAAGATTGTCGAGTGCAAAGGGTTAATATTATATATTAATATTATATTTCGAAGGATTTATGAACTACTTATAATGAATTGACTTGAATGTAAGCTAATAATTTGTTAACGTACGTGATTTGGTACTTTCGTGTTAACAATGACGAGCTGAGTTAGTTAGTGCATTAAAAATTACGTGATTTCATTTCTTAAAACAAAGTTGACCTATATACGTTTTCTATGTGTCACTTAGGATAAGAAAATAATTATTTCAACTTATGACTCTCTTTCAGTCGTTTAATTTCTGTGAAAATGTTTCTTATGCAACGAGCAATTAATTTCTATTCACTCAAACATAACATAGACACTCAGTATAATATAGCAAGTGAGAAGAGAAATATTATTATATTAAATATGGAAAATAAAATGAAAAAATGTATAAAAAAATAAAAATAAAATAAATATAAAAATAAATATGAGAAATAAAAATAAAAAATAGATGAAAAGTTATAAAAATTGAAGGATACATATCAAAAACAATCGTCGTCAATTTTACTTCTTTATCTAAAGTGAAAATAAATACTATATCATTTTTAACTTGGTTTTATAAAATTGCTGAATTTTTCTTAGGTTATTATTTAGTAAATATGTGCATACGTCATCTTTCAAATATAAAAATAAGAAATAGATGAAAAATTATAAAAATTGAAGAATTCACATCAAAAACAATTTTCATGAATTTTATTACTTTACCTAAAGTGAAAGTTAATACTATACCGTTTTTAATTTTTTTTTATGAAATTGTTTAATTTTTCTTGAGTTATTACTATATAAGAAATATTTGTATACGTTATTTTTCATGATACTTCGTTTCTAGAATATTTAATATGTTTTTATTACTTATTAGAATATTTAATACGTTTTTATGTCTTTAGAATATTTTAATATGTAGAAACTCAAAAAATTTGTTAAATTAACAATTATTTGATATCAACTTTTCACTTATGTAGTGGTTACCTGAATAGTTTATTATAATCCCAAATGTACAGGATTTAAAAGCCAGAAACGCTAATCACCTGTCCTGTTTCAAACTCTGTTCTATACTGCATTCAGGTACGTTCATTTATCATTTGTCTGGCAAATGCATATCGAATTCGTGAGTTGGCAGTGCTGACGCATTAGTGGAGATAAAGTTTTAAGTATAATAAACTCGATAATATTATCTACCACATTTACAGTACATAAAAATATACTACATACGGTGATACGTGTCTAGTGTAAACCAAAAATATGTATAACTATTACAACTGCTTTAAATCCCTTTAGATACACGCAAATAAATAATACCATAATTAATAACAAAATTAATACGAAAATAAATAAAATAAAATTAAAATTAAAAGAAAAATAAATTACGATAAAAATATAACAGAATATTGTGTGGCAATAATTAAAAGTTACTAAAAGAAAATTCACCAAATTATAATCATTACACTATTTCGTCACACGCAAGAATAATTCATTCAAAATTAAGTACTCCAATATTCTCTGCAAAATTTCGCGGTGAAAATGAAATCGACTGAAACCTGTGCAACAATAAAGTATAATCTGCAAATAATAATGTTTCAGAACACCGTATTATACAGGAGGATATTAACCTAAAAAGCAATCTACCTTCTTTGGCATTTAAATCTTCATTGAATCCATCAGCAACCCCTTGTTACCCCCGAAGTATTGAAATTTCGATGCTTCCATCGTATTTAAAGCACGATATTAAACAGCTTTCGCAATAATAGAATGCAAATTCGCTGCCATCGTGGACAACGTGTTAATGACGCGACACAAAGATTCGAGGTTATGGGGAACAGAAGCGCGGAGAACTTTGGTGAAAAATGGTCAACATGCGGTTGGCCGTGCGTGACCAGGGTCCAATGCCCCGGATCATTTCCTCGAACTACGGAATTTCTTTTCGCTAACCAACTTCGTCTTTCTGTCCTACAAATACACGACGATTTCCACAGCTCCATTTCATGGCCTGTCTCGATATACTATGACTAAATTGACACGTTCTTGCGTCAACCTAACCTAACCACTCGTGACCACTAGTGTATTAGAAGATTGGTCCCAAACGATGAAACAAGTGTTAGTCGTGGATTTTGTGTTTAACTCTTTGGGAGTTCTTCTTTTATGCTAATTCTGAGATAACTAACCACGAATATATTAAAAAGTGCATATTTCCTTATTTAATTTATTTTTTCCATTAGAAAATGTCTATTTTATTTATTTATTTATTTTTTTTAAAGACATTATTTCTGGAACATCTAAATTAGGTATATTTTATAATAAAATTCAATAGCAGTGTCTATCGTTTAAACAGTCTTTAGAAATAAATTAAATATATTCTTATTTTGTATATTTTGTAGAAAAAATATAAAACCAAGAGTATGATTTTAATTAAAAGCTGTATTTAAATTCTAGATTCTTTTGTTACAAGAGGCGAATAGCAATAGAAAAAGCGAATTGCAGTCTAACTTACATTTGTCGTTGATGAAAAAATTTTGGAGGTTAGGAAATAGGCTCGTGAACTTGAAATCGATCAAACTACGTGATTTACCTTTTAGTTTCTGAGTTTGAAGATAGAAACAACTAAAACGTGCTAAGGCAACTGTGCAAGTACGAATAAAACGTGTTTAAAAAGTCACGTGACCCAAGGAAATATGTTAAAAGATGGCGTAATGATGAGGAAAAGTTCCTAGTGTGTGGAATGCCTAAGGATGACCTAGATAATGTCTGCCAAAATAATGGAACACACCTTCCTCACGGAACACCCGAATAGTAAACGCAACTGCACCTTCGCGAAAACATATACCAAGCAACAGTGCCGCATCAACGTGTGCAGAGTTCTGAGTACACCACGAAACAGAGTAGAACTTAATCGTTTCGAGATCCAAACGGGATCTACTTGGAACCAGAACCAACAGACTAGGACTCGATCAACGCTAGTATCCAAATACGGGATAGTCGGCAAAAAACGTAATTAAGATTCGAAATACACGATCTACGTGTCTTGCGTAAAACGATCGATCAGGTATGGAGTGAATGATAGTCTTTGCGTTGGATAAGCTCGGAGCATTTGGCCTGTCTCAATCCATCTAAATTCAGCGATAAAGCTGTAAGACGTGTACGAAAATTCGGAAAAAGTGAAACAATACTATTTAACTCGTCAATTTCTTTTTATTCCATTCGTAGTGTGTTACGTATTACTGTACATGTCAGCGGTTCTCAATCTTTCTTGCGCACCATCGCTGGTCTGTGACCGATCGAGTCACGTATCAGTTCGTAGTATAATATGTATGTATTGATATGAAGTTATATTACGGAAATCTATTGATATGAAATAGAGTAAAATTTTGGCAATTTCAAAAATTATATTTTTACGAATATCACGATATTTACTGAAATCATGCATCTCTTTTATAGGTTTGTCGTAACATGTATATTCTTGCAAGAATTGAATTGGACACAACATAGGACAAGATGATTAACTCCATTTTGAAAATATGTTGGAATTGTAGATATAAAAGATACTAAATTTGATATTTTGTATCTACTACTTACTTAGTACCTAGTTTCTAGTGTCTATCTAGTATCTAGTATCCAGTACCTAGTAGATATAAAAGATACTAAATTTGATATTTTGCATCTACTACTTACTTAGTATCTAGTTTCTAGTATCCATCTAGTATCTAGTATCCAGTACCTAGTATCCAGTACCTCGTATCTAATATCTATAGCATCTAGTATCTTATATCTAGTGCCTAGTACCTAGTAACTGATATTTAGTACCTAGCATCTAGTATCTAGTACCTAGTACCTAGTACCTAGTATCTAGTACTTAATACCTAGTACTTAGTATCTAGTATCTAGAGTCTGGTATCTAGTATCTAGAGCCTGGTATCTAGTATCTAGTATCTAGTACCAAGTATCTAGTATATAATACCTGGTACCAAGTATCTAGTACTTAATATCTAATACTTAGTACCTGGTATCTAGTGTCTGGTATCTAGTATGTAGTACGTAATACCTAGTATCTAATAACTAGTATGTAGTACCTAATACCAAGTATCTAGTAACTAGTATATAGTACCTAATACCTAGTATCTAGTATTTAGTACCTACTGTCTAGTACCTAGTACCTAATATGAACTACCTGATATTCAGTATCTAGTATCTAGTATGTAGTACCTAATACCTAGTATCCAGTATTTAGTACCAACTGTCTAGTACCTAATACCTAATATGAACTATCTAATATTTAGTATCTAGTATCTAGTATTTAGTATCTAGTATTTAGTATCTAGTATCTAGTATTTAGTATCTAGTATTTAGTATCTAGTATCTAGTATCTAGTATTTAATATCTAGTATCTGACAATTAAAATTACTCGATTTGGTAAATTAACAGCTGATTTATTTGTATACAGCTGTAATGTACGACAATGTGAATGTTACAAACACAATTTACTAGACACAACGCAATCGTAGCATCAACATCCTCAAGTTCGATTATCAATTTACCCGTAGCTCCTGTTCCCAACGGCATTTTATTCGAGGTATCGTAGCTTCTCGCCGACAAACCGCGAATAAAATAGATAAAATAAAATCGAGATTCGATTTTCCAATTGGTGAACCCCGCGATACCGTAGTAATTTTTGAGCGTATCGTTGATATCGTTAGCGACTGCGGCCATAAAACTACGGAGGAATTCCTTCCTGTAGAACAAGAATTCCTCCGAAAACTTTATCCCATTGCGTTCCCTTTTATGAAAAATGGGACGGCGGAACTGCTGGCTGGGAAGGACAGAAAATTAAACTAGGATAATGTGCTGTTGCTCCATTCAAATCCATAAGACCATTCTTTTACCTTTCCCTCTGAAAACGCCATTTTCTCGTCGGTTCCGTTCAATGTACGACGGATAATCGCGTCGAACTTAAAATCCCTATAAAGTGCTTGGAAATCAATTTCCGGCACTATCCTTCGAATTAATCCTCCGACGCGTGCTTCGCATAGTTTTATAAATAATTTACGAGATGCAGGATCTTATATACTATACCGTAACACTCAACGATAAATCGACCGTTCGAAAAACGATCGCTATAGTGTGATTTTTTTAAAACGTGATTTATGCCATAAGCGACAAAGTATGATAAAACACCCTATGATTTTCAGTGCTTTTTGAGTAATTTCAAATTAGTAATTTCGATAACAAAATTATATAATTCTAAACTAAATTTTATTTTGCAATCCAATCAGGATGACTACTGTAGTGTGACGTTTCAAATGTGATTTATAGTACGATGAAACATTCTATAATTTTTACTGTTCTTTCAGTAATTTCAAATTAGTAATTTCGATAACAAAATTATATAATTCTAAACTAAATTTTATTTTGCAATCCAATCAGGATGACTACTGTAGTGTGACGTTTCAAATGTGATTTATAGTACGATGAAACATTCTATAATTTTTACTGTTCTTTCAGTAATTTCAAATTAGTAATTTCAATAATAAAAATTATATAATTCTAAATTAAATTTGATTTTGCAATTCTTTGAGAGCAATCACTATATAGTATGATGCTTTTGGTAAATGTGATTGTAAATTGCATTTGATTTGATAAGGGAAGATTAGTATTACATGATATTGTTATTAAAAATATAGAGAAAATGAGTATTGGAATATTTGGAATATTTATATAAATATAACAGAAATTAATTTCTTTCATTTATTTATCTTGTAAATCTATCGTGACAAGTAATTTTTCTTTTATAAAGCTTTGTATAAAGTAACTCTATCCCTTTTCCATTAAAATATGCATTTGCATAAACATCTGCTACCGAATAATGGCGCTGCTTCATCGGGCGATGGTATGGGGGGCAAGTGTGATTGAGTTTACACGAAATCTGCAAGTAAATTGAAGAGTGCAATCAAACAGATCCAATGAAAGTCAATGGAATACAGACCACTTTTGTCTATTACATTAACACCGATACATTCGCTTTACTCTTTTTCGAAATTACTTCTGATTTTTCCACTA